GAGCTGGCTTGTGGAGTGTGGTCGAGCCGATAGATGTGACACGTTTTCAAGTAGAGGATTGAAAACGGGTTTCGTAAGAGATTCATACGAGGGATTGGAAGGAGGCAAATTCAGTGTAAGTAAACACCGACGTTACAGCGAGGAACGACAAAGCCAATCAAGCTGACGCTGAGGAGGAGAAAGTCGAGACGGAGGAATGACGTTACTGGAGACGGTACTGAGAGCGTAACCGGGAAGGTACTGAAACAGCCGGGGGTACCTCTCAGTAACTTGCGATGATGGGACTGACAGAAGCTGTACGGCAGTACTCAAGACTCTATGACATGATCAGCCCACTGTCCTAGGTAAAACGGCGTCAGGGCGACGTGAAAGACTCGACGAGTTACAAAAAGGGACTGACCAACTAGTCGGTGACAACGCTAACCAGGGTCGACTGCCAAGCGGTCCCCATTAATGAGAAAAAAGGTCCGTACAGGTTGATAGGGTCGGGCCAAAGTCACAGTCCGCGAGTCATTAATGTCAAACGGGGCGAACTTTCCCTACCATGTCACGGGTAGCTTCCAAATTGGGTCGGTTGAGCATGTTACTGCGTGTTGAAACAAAACAACNTTCAACGAATCACTTGAATCGTCTAATTAACTTGAAACACCTGCAAGGGTTTCCTGAGCCTTGAAAAACACTCAGCTTGGTTCAGTAAACTAAATCACATTGTGATTTAGTTTACTGAACCAAGCTGAGTGTTTTTCAAGGCTCAGGAAACCCTTGCAGGTGTTTCAAGTTAATTAGACGATTCAAGTGATTCGTTGAACACCCTACTAGTATACTTTTTCATGATATTCTAATATTTAGAGATAGGATATTTGAGTTTTCTTAAGCTGTATGCCATAATCAGCAATATTAAAATAATAAAAGGCTTGCAATATTTCAGTTGATTTGTAATGAATCCAGAATGTATGACATTTTTGTTTTTTTAATTGCATTACAGAAAATAAAGAACTTTATCACAATATTCTAATTTTCTGAGACAGTCCTGTATATTGTGCAGTTTTCCAAACTCACATTGGTTTCTCATACAGCATCTCTGTATAGTATGTGTATTCACTCACTGTCCTAAACGGCTTGTTGACGTTGCGAGGCTCGCTGCTGTGAGGAGTGGACAGTGTGAGCTGGCTTACTGGTGTGGTTTCCTGGTTGCTGTGTGGGGTCAAGACAGAGCGAAACCCAGCCCGAGCACACACACACACACACACCTGACTGAGTCTTTGTGTGTGCTCAATGTGCTCACTGTGCTCACACACAGACTCACAGCCTCGCCGCGTCCCGCCGTCTCAGGCTGAGAAATCCGCGGAGCTGCAGCTGAGAAAAGATTGAGTGTGTGTGTGTGTGAGGAAGTGCGCGGACTGGTCCATTTGGACCGATTGGTCCATTTGGTTATGGTCACGTCACCATACCCAGGAAGAGAAAAATGAGAAATCTCCAACGAGGCGTTTTGGGGAGGTTAGAGTTGTACTCGCTACAGGGTGTACTTTGAGGGTTTGTGACTCTGCAGACCGTTTACATGCAGAAAAAGCTACATAACACACAAGGGGACGGGTAATAACCGGAAAAGCATGTCATGGGACCTTTAAAGGATCATTGAGTAAACTGACGACGCCTGTCCAACGTTAGGTTATGTATTTTATGGATATTTCATATTAAATTCAATGAAGGACAAAAAATTGCAGAACAAATTATGAACTACAATAAATGCAGTATATTTGTGTAAAACCACAAACATGGAACCTTTAATACAATTCTGTCTATATTACGTTTTTTTTAACAATCATTTATACTTAATCTGCTTTTTCTAAGACAAATTCTGTGTTTTCTTTTCCCTGACCCTTGTCCATTTTTCTTTTAGCTCCTTGGTTGTTTTAACTGCATACTTTTGAAAAGCAGGACGAGGCTGTTAAGCAGAGAGGGAATGTTGTGTGATCATACATATTTTTTTAAGATGTTCACCAAGTTTTTTATCTTATTTAATAAAACAAACTTTAAAAGTCCCAATTGAATTTAGTTTTCTTCACAGAATACACATACACGACAACTGTATATTAAAATATAGTATACCCCTTAAAATCAAGAAGTAATTACAACCCCCTATAAAGCTGAATGTGAAATCTTTCCGACTAACAGAATGTTTTATTATTGAAAATCATACCAACGTCAACCGTACAATCTGCATTGGATGCTCTCACACTTAAAACATTTCTCTATGGAACAGCTCCAAGGTTTACATCTGGATTCTGGGGAAGAGATTTCAAGTCTCATACTCACAAATATGACTTGAAGTTGTTTTACACATTTGCTAAACAGATAATCCAGAATGAAATGGGACTTCACTTGAAAACCATAATCTTAAAAATTACACATACTATACCAATGTGCCTCTGTAGCCTATAGACTTGACTGAAAGTGATGACCACGGCAATATCCTGCGTGTTATTATTGACCCACTGCCCTCAGTAAGTAATTTACCTATAAATTATGGCAGCAGATGAGGCTGACGGCTTGAGAAATGACTCCACTCCAGTAGTCAGCATACGACCGTGTGTTCTGCTCTGTGGTTTGTTCAGAGATTATGATCAGGTCAAAAGGGTCTCATTAGGGTGGGTATGGAGTTACTCCCGTTACTGACCTCTGTTGGCTGTAAAGTGTAAGTGCAGTGTAAATATTAGCCAATGATTCCTTTTTTTTAACAATATTTATTGACTTTTCGACAGTGTATCAATATTGAGATATGATACTATATATTATCTTGAATTTAGCTATTTTTTATTTTCCTGGTTTTAAAGACTTCATTACAGTTATGTGATATAAAGATCAGAGCTTACCAGACTGTTCTTAGTCATCATATTCACATTACTCATGATTTTCATTATCAAAATCTCACTGTGGAAATAATTTGCAAAGGCAACAATGGTCAACTGTTCAAAAAAGTTGCAATATCTATAATGAGGTATTTGGTCAAATATAATGCACTATTTCATTGTCTCAATGTCATAAAGTCATAGGTCTCATATGACTCACAAACAACTCAAACAACACTAGTCCTGGTTTGTGTTTCTTTTCATAAAATATAGTATGCATTTTGAAACTTTTCAGCAACTACTTTTTTTTTTCCTCAACTCAATTCATGTTTTTCAAAGTAGATTTTCCCTTTAAAGGTGGGGTATGTAATTCACTTCAGATACACTTTTCGTTATATTCCATGGAATGCTCTTAACATCCCGATAGCAATGAATACATTAAATGCTTTGACAAAAAATACAGTAAAAAAATTCATCTGTGGAAGCCGTAGTACTGTAAAAAGCATGACCAATCATTTTAGCCGGCACTGCTAAAATATGTAACTGGATGCCCTACCTGCCTGTCAGCCTTCCATCTGCGCACAAACTTATCTCGTGCCCTCATTGGTCATGTGCGCGTTCGTGTGTGTTGGAGGAGGGGCTCTGTAAGGAAGTCTGAAGGAAGAGGCAGATTTTTTCCGGTTGTGTGCTTTCAAATTCTAGCGCACTCGAGCTGGTTTCTCCATTCTTACCTACCCTACCTTTAATGACTACCTTTTTTGTATATTATTGCAATGTGTTATTTGTTCACTGATGAGTTATTGTATACATGTGGACATTGTGATTTCTAAAAAGAAAACTCTTATAATCCTGCATGCTTCTTTTCTTATCAAGTACAGTAAAAGTACAGTTTATGCAATTTTGGGCAATACATAAGGTCTAACAGAGTCACTCATATGAGCAATACAGTTTCTAAGCAAGCTAACAGGTCAGTCAGATTTATAAGCAATAATTAACACAACTGATACAATTATATGCCAAAAATATCTGTTCTCAACTTTGACCCATCGCACTTGACATTATGGCTGCGGGCACTTTTGGTTTTCCTCCTAAAAAAGGGAGCAGCTAATCTGGCTAAACAGCTTGTTTTCTATGAGCATGACTGTTTTTGTCTGTTGCCATGTTGACTTTTTTTAAAACAAATCTGAGTTTGCATATCTCAGTAACTAGTAACTTACCTTATCCAGTACAATGTTATTCCATCCAACTGAACCAAACCTAAAACCAGAACATCCTAGAGGTTGTTGAAGAAAACACCACAGTGGTGGTGGCTTAAAGCCCACCTCTGCTCCGCACCGTCCGTTAGATGAGCCTGGTCACATTAATAAGAAGAAGGAATTCAAAACACCGGCATAAAAGTTATAACAATAATCTGATTGATGTTAATGGTAAAAAAAAAAAATACAAGTTACAGAGTACTCTGGACTTCCAGTTCTACTGCCGTGCGATACAGGTATCAGGACCAGCCAGTCAGAAACAGGAAGCCCCGTGCATGAATAAACATCAGTATACATAGACAGATTTGGAGGCAGTCGATTTCACTCCTAAGCGAATCAGAGTTCTGGGAAAAATGTATTTTACTTCTGAACAGAGCGTGAGAGCTTCGGAACTACCCAAGGACAGAGTCAATCTTTTATCTTGCAACTGAATTCACTCCTTTACTTTCCCAAGGAATATTTCACACAAACTATTCTTTCCCAGACAATCAAACATTGTACACAGATATATTGGTGCCCAGAAAGGACCTTGAAAAGAATGTGTGTGTGCTGAAAAGAATATGTGTGTGTGCTGGTATCTAGGTCAGTGAGTGTGAGTGAGAAGGTTATATATATATATATATATATATATATATATATATATATAGGATTACTTGAAAACAGTCCCCAATAATACATGTTTACTTCAATACAGTTTAAAATAATACATGTTTACTTTAATACAGTTTAGAACAATAACTATTAACTTTAATCTTTAAGGTGCAGACCTACGCAAAACCATTACAATTACAATTAAACAACATGTTATGGAATTTTAGCGTTATCCTGCGGACAAACAGAAAAACAAACCAAAAACATAACCCATGGTCATTTCTCTTGTTTCTCTCTCCTTCAGAGTTCCTCTCCAGATGGTCTAGTCTCCATCCTGAAGAGGAGGAGAGCATCACTGGATGGGCTACCTCCCGAAAGCGAAATAGCTACTAAACAGAACTCCAAACGGAAGGTCCGCTTCAGTGAGCCAGAGGACGGCATTGAGCAAGGTACAGACTCTCCTGTAATGAAAACATTTATATTAGAAAAGTTTCAGGTTCAACATTCTTACATTTCTTTCTTGCAGATGAGGTAGGCGGAGATTCCTGCCTGATCCTTCTGCTGCTGTGTCTGGTCACCGTGGTGATCAGCATAGGCGGGACCGCCCTCTACTGCACGCTGGTAGACACTTACTCCAACATTTGCACTGACTTCACTCACAACGTGGACTATTACATCATGAACATGCGGAGGTTCTTCGAAGGGCTCAGACGCTGGCTACCCCTCCGGACTTAGACCTTTGTAAACAACTGCTGTTTCAGACATGTGCACTGTCAAAGACAGTGTGAAAAAGAAAGCAAGAGTTCCTGAAAGCAACTGTAATCCTCAATGTGGGATCTACAAACATTGATCTGACGCTGCCATCCAGAGTGTTTAAAGTTTAAACTCCTACAGTGACTGGAGCTTGGGTCTCTTGGCTCACAAGACTTATGAATTTGAGCTATCACCCATAACGAATGGGTGCTCAAAGCAACTAAACAGTAAAACTGGTGTGCATGTTGTCGGAGAGTTCAAAAACTCCTACTTACTGCTGTTTGTGTGGACATTTTATCCTAAACTGAACCATACACAGGGGATCACAACACTTCGCAACAATGTTTATATTTTAACAGAAGAAGTTGTTTATGGGTGTTCAAATGTTTCCCTTACATTTTGTAGCTGATGTAGCTTTGTCTTTTGTTCCAGAGGATTTCTTGTTCTGGTTGTTATGTTTTAACCTACACAGAGAAAGCTATGTTTGGAATAATTAGGATTGTATGTGTTGTTTTTTGAAAGATTAATGGGCAAAAAGATGATTTTTAAACTCATGTTACTATTATATTTTCCTCTGTTGACTCATCCCTGTAATTGAATATATTGTAGGGCTGTACACCTTATCAGACAACAAAGATTTATTTTATTTTTGCAAAACCCTGATTTGATGTGGCCCTTTATGAAAAGGATAATTTCATAACAGCGAGTCAATTCTGCTATCTCTAACAAAATACATTTCATTGTAGTTATCATGATAATCATTATGTGATAGTCATTTAACTCTACAAATTCAGGTGTTTATACTTTTGGTTCCCAATGTTTCACGCTTTAGTCGTGTACAGTATATCCCTAATCCTGGTCTAAATGTGGATTCATGATTTATATTTAGTCTCCTCCTGCAGTTGGCAAAAAGGCTGCATCATTATCTTAAAAACCCAATGCGGACAGAAGATACATTTGGATTGTGTATGAGACACCAGATCACAGTAAAAAAACAAGCACACATTATTTTAATTCAAGTTTATAACCCTATTTCTTCCTAAAATATTTATATGTCCTCATTATCTGCATTGGGAAAGGATCTACAAAGATTGATCCATTATTTGTCATCTATTAAATGAATAGCCAACCATTTTTAAAAGTCTATTAAAATGTTGATATGTTAAACATATATTTGGCTTTTTAAATATGAATTCTGTCTGGTTTCTTTACTTCTCTCTCTAACAGCAAATAGAACATGTTTTATGTCAATTGAGGACGTCTGATACGATGAGTGAAGCAGGTAGGACCCAAACGCAGATAACATTTGATAATACCTTTTATTTCAAGGTCTAGAGTAAACTTGGAACAAACAAAACACTCTGAGTCACGAACAAAAGAAGCACCAACACTGAATACAGGAGGAGACAAGACTAAATACAGGGAGGGGTAATCACAAGACGAGAAACAGCCGGGTAGGGGAGGAGAAACACAAGGGCCACAGGTGAACACAATCAAACAACTAGACACACCAGGGAAACTAATGACATTTTTTAAGATTTTCTGATGTTTTTAGACCAAACATCTCATGGATTAATTGGAAGAACTGGAAAGTGAATACAATCATTAGTTTCAGCCCTAAATGGGAGTGTCAGAATATCCAGTGTACATTATGCTGTCTTTGTATCATTTTGTCTAAAAGCAGAGATTTAGGGACCAAGAGTTGTGTTTCCTGTCCGGCACAAGTAACACAACAACAAAAATACGTCTGTTGAGACTACATTTTGTTGAAATGGAAAAATTGAAATTTCACAGTATGTTTCTGCGATGTTGGCTATTGATGTGTCAACACATTTTTATCTCCTTCTCAACTCCCGATTTGTTCTATCTTTCTTCCCTAATGTCCATTTGTGTGTTGAATTATTAAATCCACCAATATTTATGTTCAGTTGTGCTCACAAGGGAATACCAACAATGATTAATTAATTTGCCATTGTGTCTTCTTTTTCAATGCCTGTCCCTAATTTAAGCTTGGGTGAAAATATGAAATGAAAATGTGTCACGGTTAGCCTATTAAGATTCATAACTCAACTTCACCACCAGATGTCAATGTCCACCACAGAATCCCCAACCATTTTGTCTAGAAACATACCGGTTGCGGTCTACATGGCGATTACAGTATGGGCAGAGTCGTGTGGAATATTGAGCTAATCCTGACCCACCTGTGCGTTTTACCTATTACATTCACAATACTTTTATTTTAGGAATATATCCAGGCAAATTCACAGGCTATTGCTTGACATGTCGAATTACAGTGGCCTGGATTTTGGATATGGTCGCAACTAAGGTACAAAATGCAATACAACTGGAATAAGATACCAGTGAGTAAACTTAAATAAATTATAATTTTGGTAATCTGTTATATCAACTACAAATTAAATGTTCATATACCACTGTCACCAGAGGTTGAATAGTTAAAAGCGTTGCTGCTGCGCTCACAATCACAATACGTAATTTAATATGTCAAGCACTTTAGCCAATCAGCGTCCAGACCCGAGCTCACGCGTGAAATGCCTTCTCAAACCAAACAACGCAACAATGGCGGCGGCTGTAACTTCTAGCAGACCGTACCATATCATCATTTTCGGCGCAACAGGGTTCACTGGACAGTTTGTAGTGGAAGAGGTGGCCCGTTGTGCTGCAGAGAGTCCTGACGGAAGCCGTCTGAAGTGGGCTGTGGCCGGGAGAAGCAGACAGCGACTGGGAGAAGTGTTGACAAAAGCCGCGGAGAGGCTGTGTATGTTTGACAGGCTGTGCTGTAGCTAACTGGGACACTAACTATGTTAGCTGTCAGGCTCTTAACAATTACATGTCAGGCTGTTTCTCTGCCGCAGGACACTTTACTCACTTCACTGACAGAGGCAGCAGTCTCAGTCGTTATGTATGTAAATGAACATCTTTTAACTTGACCCCCAAATATAAGTTATTGTTAAGCACTAAAACAGCTAGCTTGAGAAATAGGTTATCAGGTTATTGAGCAGCAAGGCTCACAGGTCAAAGTAACTGAGACACGTCATGTGGTAATGTGCAGCAATAAGAATTTAGAAATAGTTGTATTTATTTAATATGATACATGATATTGTCAGTCTTGCTTGTATTAACCCTGTGTTAAACATGCACGTTTTATTCTGACATGAACAAATACAGTACCACAAATCAGATTAGGATTATGGGCAACATTTTTTCTCTGTACAATTTACTGAAAGATGATCTCTTCTTTCTTCCGTCAGCTATGCCTGAGCTGAGGACAGACATTGAAATCATTGTCGCAGATGTGTCCATTGAGGAGTCTCTGGCCATCATGTGCCAACAAGGCCTGGTGATTCTCAACTGTGTGGGACCCGTGAGTAGACCCAGATGGGGTTTCAAAGTATGTTTAGAGAGCAGGGAGGGTTATGGCAGATATATAATAATGTTCAATTTTGGTTTGCATCTGATCAAATACTACAATTTTAATAAAAATAACAGTCCAAGCCAAATTGTTTACCTTAAATGACTGTAATTGTCTGCCTTGTGTGTTTGCTGCACTGTCTACAGTGCACTTATTTTAAATTAAAACAGCATTTATTTGCACAGAGGATTAGTGTGCTGATCTGCAAAATCAGAGGTTTATGGGTTTAACCCTAACCCTTGCAGTTATTTAACCCCTAATTGCCCCCTGTATAGAGTATTGCAGTGTATGTAACTCACTTTGGATAAAAGTGTCAGCCAAAAACCATGTTAAGTGAAATCATTGAATCTCCTTATATTTGATAAAAAGCTAAAACCTGTAAGCCTACATAAATAAAAAACAAATGCAGAATGTTCCCTGCTGTCGGCTCAGTGAAATAAAAACAAAAACATAATCAGCGTTGTTATTTCAGGCATTCGTCGCTGCAGATTATTTAAAAATGGCATTAACCTGCTCGTATGTTATCCAGACTTTGTGAGGGGTTGAAACAAATACAACTTTGAAATTGACATTTGACACAAATTAGATTCAAACCCACCAAACTAAAAGGTGATGTTGAACATTTCTCTTCATTCTCTGTGTTTTCAGTACAGATTTTTTGGCGAACCAGTGGTCAAAGCTTGCGTAGAGAATGGAGCTCACTACCTAGACATATGTGGGGAGCCTCAGGTAGGAAAATAATTGTCTTTTTCTATGTCTTCTACCTATTTATTCACTGTGATGTTTTTTAGCGTGGTAATCACTGATCCTAAAGTCGACTCGACTAAAGCAAGTTTAATTTGCACATAATAATAAACATTTGTTTGGTGTATATGTGAACGTGTGGGTGTTCATCCTCCACAGTTCCTAGAGCGTATGCAGCTGGAGTACCATACTAAGGCGTTGGACAAGGGAGTGTATGTGATCGGCAGCTGTGGTTTCGACTCCATACCTGCAGACCTGGGTATTCTCTACACACAGAGGCAGTTCAAAGGTAGGCAACACAAGATAAATAGTTTACTCGGTTAAGGAGATAACACATCTTTTTGAGCCTTTAACATATCAAGGTGTATAGTGCTTAACACACACACATGTATATATCTTGGATTTTCAGTTTGCTTACCTTCTAACAATGTCCAAATATGGTAAAATGAAATGTACCTTTGACATGTTAATGAATAAATATGTGAATTTCAACAATGTGATTTTTCTTCTGATTTCAGGAACACTGACAGCTGTGGAGGGCTTCCTGAACATTACCAGTGGTCCTGCGGTAAACAACTACAGCTCCTGCACTGCATGATGAGAAATGTAGTCTAATACTCTTTTGCCAACCTTTTTAAGAAGTAATCTGCAGTTGTTATAGTTGTAGCTAGCTATCACTTTAAACAACATAAAGATGTGGCTTCAACGGTGGTATATATTAAAAATAGCACACAAGTAAGTACTTGTTACAGTATATAAAACATTGCATTTGACTTTACCTGTACTGAGTGAACAGTGGAAGAGGACTACATTTTTAAAAAGCACTCTCAACAAACACTAGTATTGACTAATAAATTAATATCCCTTTGACACAGGAAGATCATTTCACAGAAGTTCTTGGGTAATTGAAAGGACAACAAAACAAAAAAATAGAATAACTGCAGAGCAGAAGTCCAACCTGTTATTGTACCGCCATACTTGCTGTTGCTGTGCAACTACTGCAGATTCAGTGTTTAACTAAAGTAATTCCCCGTAGGCTCAGGACACATTTGGAGTTTATTGAGGTGTATTTGAGGGGAATAGCCCTGTTCTTTCTGCTCTGTGAGAGAATTGATAGTTCCCTTTTGACCTTTGCAGGGCTCATCTGGTCACGATGCCACTTGGCAGTCTGCTGTGCACGGTTTCGCCGACAGCGGATCCCTCCGCCAGCTGAGGAAGAGGTTTGGCCAAAAGCCACTGCCTGTAGTGGGAGCCAAAGTCAAAAAGAGGTAAAGCTATAACTGAGCAATTGGCTAAAACACTATGCTTTAAATGTTTTCTATTGGAATGTAGGGCTTGGCAGCAAGTAGTCAAGGAAGCTGTACGTTGTGTGTCTTTAGTGCACAGCAGAGGGACTATCCCACTGAAATGTATTTCAGAGGCCCTATTATGCAGTATAGGTTTTTGTCCATATAAATGGTCTGCAAAGTATAAAATCCCTGTGTTCCCTCCAGAGGAGTTTCAACTCTGCTTTCTCTTTTTGTAATTGGGTTTGTCTGTTTGTTTGTGTCTAGGGGTTTTGTGTTTTTCAGCAAGGAGATGGAGCAGTATGCCATCCCATTTATGGGTTCTGACCCCTCAGTAGTCAGGAGAACCCAGCGCCACCTCTACGAGGAGGATCACCAGTCTCCGGTAAGATTCTATCGACATGAGAATTGAAACGGTGTCTCAGATAATTAGGCGCTTTCACACCAAGTACTTTTCCCAGGAATAGTTCCTGGAACTTAGTTCCCCAGAAATCTTTAGTTTCGGAACTATCTAGTAGATCGCGTTCACACCGGAAAAGGTCCCTGAGGGAGGATTAGGCAAATGAAGCCGCTGACGTCACTTCTTCTTCTTCTGCTTTGGGTTTACTGGCAGGCCGCAAACAACTTCACGGCGTATACTGCCACCCGAAGTCCCCGGCCGGAAGTCCCCGGAGTTGGGGACTGGCTTCAGTAGAA